GCCCCTGCACACACTGCTAACTGCAGCTCCTGCCCCGCGGCAGCTCTTCGAGGTGGCACACAGTGCCTACAAGGACAAAACCAAGGTGAAGTTCATCGCCTTTCCTGAAAAGCTGGGCCTGGGCCACGACTACATCTCATTCAACCCAGAGCTGCCGGCCCTGGTGAAGTAAGTGCTGCTCTGCAGAAATGGAGGGGGGCACAGACCGAGCCTTGGCCTCTTCGGCCATGGGCACATCCTCTCCTGCCACAGCCATGCGGGTGCGTTGCCCCTGCTCCTTCCCCTCCCTACGGTGCTCGCTGGCATCCATTTTTGAGCTCCCGTCACTCCTCGCTGCCCTGAGCCCATCCTCAGCCCAGGTGTCATGGGGAGGGGACCCCAGGGCCAGCCCCCAGCTCCTGTGCCCAGGTGACAGACACACAGCTGTGCTCCAAGCCCCGCTCAGCCCCACGTCCAGGGACCAGAAATCAGGATCTCAGGCCGCAGAGGATGGTCGGGGGTACAGCGTAAGATTTATTGTATCTTGTTGCAGAGACTTCTTGAACATTAAGTGATGCCAGCTGCTGCGTGCGGCAACCGCCAGCGCTCCCTCAGACCCACACCAGGACCCCCTCCTGGCAGTGAACTTGCTGCTGTACGTAATAAAAACTACTGAGAAACTTTCTAACTTGCCCACTGCCTCGAGGATGCTGCAGGTCGCTCAGGGGCTGGAGAGCCTGCTGTGACCTGGGCGCTGCTCCCGGGACAGGACGGTGCAGCGGTAGCTGGGAGCAGTGGTGGGGGTACATGGGCCTGACTGCAAAAAAGACCCTTAACCCCCATCCCACCAGCACTGATGCTTCAGGACTGGCAAGAGCTGCACCCCAAGTCCTGCGTCCACATCCCCTGCGAGGGCTCGGAGAGCTGTGGCCAGCCTGTCCTGCACCGAGCCCCAGCAGCTCAGCCCCTGCACCCCGCTCTGCGTTGGCGCTGCAAGCGAGCCCAGGCCCTAATTTTAGGCTTCAGCAAACAGCCCCTTGGACTCCAACGGCACTTTTATTTTTAGTACCTGTGCAAGCAACAGGGCGACATGGATTTCGCGTTCCGGACGACACTTGGGTTATAAAAATCCACCCC